ATATCCAATTCGAAGATTAAGGAACAACGCAATCTGCAACATTAACTGAATTAGATAATTTTAGCTTAGCTTATACCGTCCGTTATACATTAAACACGCATGTGTAAACGTTTTATGCGCATGTGCACATGCACATTTGCAGCCGTAAAGGTCTTACGCGCACACGTAAACGCCTATTCGCATGCATCGAGTTGACGCATGCGCAGAAAGTTTGTAGCTTTGAGGTCCGGATTATGGGTGTCCGAATTAATGACTTTTGACTGTATTCTCAGTAAAAATTTTTGACAACTAAAAGTGTTGAAACATATTGCAAAAGAATTTGGGAGTCACAGTTTAATTAGTGAAATTACATGCCAAAGGCTTGAAATTATTTAGTTGATATTATTGATGTTAAACATTAGCATAATAATGTGAAATGACTATAAAAGGAAAGTGTTAACGACTAAAACTGAAACTTCACCTTGCAAGCCGTTAAAGGCATACCTATAGAGTGTCCTGATATTCTCTGATTATCCACCCAATCCTGACGATTTTGACATTTGATACTTTGACAATACCGTGCAGAGCACGGTATTGTCAAAGTAGTCAACCCAGATAAATGCATTGTGTGAAAGTATATTTATCTGGGAATCCATTAATGTTTGCATGCACATTACAGCAGCACATAATGTGCATGGTTTTAAAATTTGAAAGTCATGTTTATGGTTTCTGCTATGAGGTATTTTTGGTGATAGCTTTTTTTCAAATTTATACAACTTGCTGATGTGTTTTCAACTTAAAACAGGTCGATGTGAGCAGTGTCAAGTTGCTTTGTGATGCTGAGAACTTTGAAGTTTTTTTTTTTTTTTTTTTTTTTTTTTTTTTTTTTTTTTTTAAGTTGAAGCAGGTCGATGCATACATGGAGGCTAGGCCCAAGTTATTTTGAGTAAATAAAATCTATGAAAGCCCGTGTTTAAATTACGGCAAAAAGTTTTGTTAAAGAAGGAATCTTCAAAGTTTTTTTGTTTTATACCTTATTACTCAGTTTCCTGTACACATGGCAATTTGGCAACAAGAGTTAGTTCCTTCATGATTTAGCTGCACAGTAGTAAACTCTTTGACATTACATCTATGGAAGCTTTCCTTCTTTACATACACATTCTTTGGTATGGCTGTCCTTATAGTGCAGCGGTTTGCAATCCATCTGGCAACTGAAAGGGCTCAAGTGCTATTTCTTGTGAGGACATAGTTAATATTTCAAGATTTTCTGCTTTCTAATGAATTTTTCAAGATTTTCTTCTTCCTCAAATCTAATGCTTGTATTGTGATTCCTCAAACCTAATGCTTGTACGGTGATGCCTGAAATAAATTGCAGTGGGTGATAGCACAACAACCTTTATATGGCTGACAAATCTCACCTTCCTTTTCCAGTAACCTTTTAAATTGGATAATTGTAAGAGTTGATAGTTTTTCTTCCATGTGTCCTTGTCATGTAGTGGTCAGTACTTCTGCTAAGAGTTAGACAATCCTGTGTTTATTTCCTAGAAGCAAAGTTGATTTTTTAACATTTCTTGCTGGGGGGAAAAAAAACACCTAATGATTCTCCTATTAGTTTCAACTTTATGATTCAGTTACAGGGGTTGGACAGAAATATGGAAACACCTGTAAAAAAACATATTTCTTTGCTTAATATGGGTGTAGGAAACCCGTTGGCATCCAAAACAGCTTGCAGTCTTCTCGGAATGAATAAATACAGTTCCTGTATGTTTGCCAAGGGAATATTATACCATTCTTCCTGCAAAACGGTGGCAAGTTCAGATAATGATGTTGGCGGTGGATAAAGAGAACGCACTTTCCGTTCCAATGTAGACCACAAAGGTTCGATAATATTCAGGTCTGGTGATTGTGGTGGCCAGGGGAGATGGGACAACTCATCCTCGTTGCTCAGAAAACCAGTCCTGGACAATGTGAGCTGTGTGAACAGGGGCTTTGTCATCTTGGAAGACACCATCACCATCGGGGAACAAAGTTTGTACCATGGGATGAACTTGATCAGCCAAAATGTTCACATAAGTCTTGGCAGTCATGTGCCCTGACACTGTTATCATGGGGCTAGCAGAGAACCACGATATGGCTGCCCAAACCATAACAGAACCCCCGCCATGTTTCACTCTTGGCAACAAGCAGTCTGTATTATAGGCTTGAGATGGCGTTCTCCAGACGTAAACTCGGCCAGAAGTGGGAAACAATGTGAAAGAAGACTCGTCAGACCATATTACTCGCTTCCACTGCTCTATAGTCCAGGCTTTATGACTTAAACACCACCTTTTCCTGTTACGGAAAAGGTGTTTGAGTGGCTTCTCAATTGCAGCACGGCCAGCAATTCCCTGTTTATGAAGCTCCCTTCTAATTGTTTTGGTACTCACAGGGTTGATAACACAACATTAATTTCAGCAGTAACTTTTCCAGCTGTGGTCTTCTTATTTTTCGTCACAAATGCCCTTAATGATCGTCTGTCACGATCACTCAGGACACACTTTCGTCCGCTCTGTGATTTAGCAGATGATGTTTTTCCGCTTTTCAAATATGCGGAATAAATCTTCGATACAGTACCTCTTGAAACACTAAACACCTCGGCTACCTTGCTTACGGAAGCACCTACCATACGTGCTCCAACAATTTGCCCATGTTCGAAGTCTGTTAACTCTGACATAATGCAATGACAACCTCACATAACAGTACTCCGACAACAACTGAACTGTTTAGCACATTTACGAAGTTGTATAGGTGGCGTCAGTAGTCAAAACGCAAGCGCCAACTACATATTTCATTAAAATCAATCAATCTTTTCAAACATGCATTTCACAAGGTGTTTCCATATTTTTGTCCATCCACTGTATTTCAACTTTCAGCTTTTCTTCAACAAAAAAATATATGATTAGCCATATCCATAATCCGGACCTCAAAGCTACAAACTTTATGCGCATGCGTAAATGCATAATGCGTTTATGAATGCGTGTTTAATGTATAACAGACAGTATAAGCTAGGCTAAAATTCTCTGAGGCATTTCAGTTAATGTTGCAGATTGCACTATTCCTTAATCTTCTAATTGGATCAGGCTTATTATTTTTTGCAGACAGTTAGAACAATTTTATAAAAATTAAGCTTGAACTTTTGATTATGTCGAAAAGAGTTTCCAATTCTGGAGCTGCCAAAGGATCTACAAAGCGAGAGCATGTTTCGATGTCCATTAAACAAAAAGTGGAATTGCTGCAAAAAATGGATAAAGGCCTATCCGTCTCAAAATTATGCGAGAAGTGTGGCATTGGAAAGTCCACTATATGTGACACAAGAAAAAGGAACTTTTTGAATTTTTTGTGGAAGCATCTGAAACAACTTACATTGAAAGAAATGTTTAATAAAGTAAACAAATAAATATTAAGCTTTTTTTTTTTTTTTTTTTGTAAATTTTGTTACCCTTTAGATCATAATCGTTCTTTATTTCATAAATTACGATTTCATACTTTTAATTTTATAATTTCTGCATGCTATCTTTCTGCATCCCAGATTTAAACTGTTGATCTATAATCCAGAAAAACCCCTAATCTGGATCGCCAAAGTCCCGACAAATCCGGTTTACGGGCTTTGTACTGTATAAGAATTTCAAATCAGAGGATTCTTTCTGAAACACTCTGTACATTATTTGATTTATTTGATAGCAAGATTTGTTGCCGTACTACATATTTAATAATCTTATCTGAGTTAAGGATTTGTCGTTTTAGATAATACTGTTATAATTATCAGTACAGGTATTTGTTTATGCTCTCAGAAGTGCAGCTCTTTTTTAGAGATATTCATTTCTGGGAAAGATTTATCAGGATGGGATCACTGTGTGTTGTTTGAAAAATTACATACTTTATTGTACATAGTACTATTTTTCAACACCCTGAAGTGGTGCTGTTTTCACTTTGAAATAAAAATATGCCTACAAGAAATTAATGTTGTTAAAGTGTATTGCTTAATGCAGCACAATTTAATCTTTAAAAAAAAAAAAAAAAAAAAAAAAAAAAAGAGCTTTAGCATGAATTTTTTTAATATGTTCTTAACTTCCTATGATAGGTTAGTTGCAATATTTCTATTCTACTTTTTGTGTATGCTGTCATCTGCATCCAGAATAATATTTAATGGTAATTAAATTAAATTTAGTTACATATTGATAGCAAACTTCTTTATGCATTTGCTCCCACCTCTTTCTTTCTTTTCCCTCTGCCCTCAAATAGTACTGTGCTTTTTAAATGCTTTAATGTTTGTTTTATCATTTTATGTCAATAAAAGGGCAAAATGTAAAAACAAATGCTGAATTTTAAAATTTGGATTTTTTTATTGATTTATGTTAATTAAGAGCAGAGATTTAGTTTTATGAATCGGCAGGAGTAAATTTTATTTTTATTTAAAAAAAGAAGTAAAATATTTGTATGATCTTTAAGCTCAAACTTTCTTATATACCCTTTACCTGGCTTAAAAGTGCTTAGGCCTTTATTTTCGCATTAAGCTCAAACTTTCCTATATACCCTTTACCTGGCTTAAAAGTGCTTAGGCCTTTATTTTGCAATCGTTGGTTGTATTCATATATTTTCAATTACAGAAGTATTTTAAATGATGAAAATATTCATGTTTTTGCAGTGTCAAATTTAAAAAAAAATTCTACAAATAATGATATCTAACTATACATATCAGTTTCTATATGTAGTTAGTTTAACAATATTTAATATTAGTTTATTGTTTTTAATATCTAACAATATTTAATATAAGTTTACTGTTGAAACAAAAAATGTATATAATTTAATAGGCTGTGTAAGGAAATTGTGTGCTGTCCACATCAGATTTTTTAAAATTACTTTCATAATATGAATGTGTTGTACATTTTACAATAAAGTATGTAATGAAAGATTTTTTTTTTTAATTTTGTAAAATCTGTTCATTATTTAATGATGTTATTTTATTTTTATTGTTTTTCCAGTTATGTGATGTAATTACTGCTGTAGTGCTGTCATTCACTTCTAAAATTTATCTGGATGAATCTGTAAGTAACAAAAATATTTTGGTTTTTATGTGTATCTTTCTATTTGTTAATATGTTTTAATGTAATAAGTGTATTAGAGATTTGTAAAGGTTTAAAAAAATTTTTTTAGAGTATAAAAGAGAAAGAATTATCAAGCGTTCCACCAAGTGCTAAGTCGCTTCTTTTAACACCTGAGGATGTGAAATGGGTGCCTTTTTATGTAGCATTTGTGTAAGTTCGTATTGATTGATACATTTCTGTAATATAACTTTTAAAGATTTAGTAATAAATTTAAGTCTTTATTAAAATTTCCTTATATAATTAAGGAAATTGTATTGTCAGTTCCATTGTTCACTAGTGTTGGAATGTTAATCAGGGTAACAGTTTTATCAAAGGATAAAATTTATACAGTAGTCATGGAAGAAAGCATGAGATATTGTTGCCTAGGATATACACTATATATGCTCACTGATTTACTAACATCATTTGATACACAGTTACTAAAAAATACAGATACACTGAAGCCCTGTATCCAAAGTGATGCTTTCCAAGATAGTGAATTTGCAGATACATGAATTTGTAGATAATAGAAAATGCTACATAATATAGAATATTCATGTAACATATGTAGCTGCAGTTAAGTTTAATTGATAAATAATTCAATTGAAACATTTCTCACATTAAACAAAGGAAATAAAAATTTTCTGTCTATTATAATATGTAACATATGTAGCTGCAGTTAAGTTTAATTGATAAATCATTCAATTGAAACATTTCTCACATTAAACAAAGGAAATAAAATTTTCTGTCTATTATAATATGTTATATACTTCAATATTAAATGAAAAATTCTAAATAACTTTTACATTAGAGTATACTCTCTCTCTCTGATATTTTAGCTCAATCCAGAAAAAATTACTGGAAAGATATACAGTCAAAAGTCTTTGATCCGGACTCGTCGGGACTTCAGCGATTCCGGATTATCGATTTTTCCGGATTATAGATCAACAGTTTAAATCTGAGATGCAGAAAGATGGCATGCAGAAATTATAAAATTTAAAGTATGAAACCGTAATTTATGAAATAAAGAGCAGTTATGATCTAAAGGGTATCAAAAGTTACAAAAAAAAAAAAAAAGCTTTATATTTATTTGTTTACTTTATTAAACATTTCTTTCAACGCGTGCATGCGTAAATCATACATTACGCATAGTCAAAATTAGAAAATTGCAACCAGAAAACTATTTAATGTGTACACGTGATATTTATAATGACGAGGAATTTTATTTAAATCATATCATAGATGGAATACATCGAGATGAAGTAGTACTACATTTAGTAAGGAATTATTAGCTGAATAAAATAAAAACATCTGCCCTGAAGATAAGGCTAGTGCTGAAAGATCAACTTCCAGTTCATTGCGTGCCGCGACGTCCCCCCCCCCCCCCCCCCGCAGAGCAGCGTGAAATTGATAAACAGATTTCTTGCAGCAATTCCACTTTTTGTTTGATGGACATCGAAAGATGCTTTCGCTTTGTAGATCCTTTGGCAGCTCCAGAATCAAAAATTCTTTTTGACGTAATCGAAAGTTCAAGCTTACTTTTATAAAATTGCTCTAACAGTTGCAAAAAATAATAAGCCAGATCCATTTCAAAGATTAAAGAACAACACAATCTGCAACATTAACTGAAATAGATAATTAGATAATTTTAGCTTAGCTTTTACTGTCCATTATACATTAACCGTGCATGCGTCAACGTATTATGTGCATGCGCACACGCATATGCGCATGCGTGAACGCTTTATGTGTTGACGCATGCGCGGAAAGTTTGTAGCTTTGAGGTCCAAATTATAGATCATTCTGGATTATGGATGTCCGGATTAAAGACTTTTGACTGTATTACACTTATGGAGAAAAATTTAAAAAAATGCCATCTAAAAATTCATTTGACTTGAACAATTTTGCAACTAAGAAAAATGGAACTTGAACAAGTTGTTTATTTTGCAAATAATATATCTTCAGAAACCAGAATTGTGTGTTTCTGCAATAATTATATTAAAATAGAAACATAGGAAACGTAATAAGTAAAGTGGGATTAGAAAAAAGTCACTTGAACATTTAAAAAATACATAGGAAAAAGTAATAAGATTATGATCACCTCTAAATAAAATTAAAATGCAAGTTTTATAGTGGTTTTCTATGCTGTTTATTAGATTATCTAAGAGATCCTACTGTAATAAAGCATAAAACATATTGAAACACGATGATTTATACTTTGAAACTCTCGAAGAATGTTAAGATCTGTAATGATGCTAGTCAGTGCCTTTTGCAGGCCATTCCTTCTATGAGTGCAGCACGATGGAGATGACCATTATCACCCTACTAGGAAAAAGTAATTTCCAGTTGCTTCCCTAAACAACATGCTATAAGGATCAAGAACTCCATCTTTGTCTATTTCAGCATTTGTACTTGCACTGGCCACTACCTTTGCATCATTATCTTTCACAAATGTTTTCAGGTTTTGCTTCCTTCAGATTGTAACACATCTGAAATCACTCCCCCTCCCCCCCCCAAAAAAAAGAAACTTCTCAGTAAAAAGAATTCAGTATTTACATATTAGCACGACCACATAGGCACAATTTGGTAATTTTTTACTGAAGAAAGTAATGACATCTTATACATATTACACACACACACACACACATATATATATATATACATATGTTATTGTTACAGTTTTTGTATTGATTTATTTAGTTTGCTATTTTTAATAAAATTGTTATTAAATTGTTTCGTTTCCCCATGCACTGCTGCATGTGACTTATTTGAAGAGAAAGCTGCGCTGGAAAAATTAAAAATACAGGAGCACGAACATTTAATAAATAGATATCTCAAAATTGTACGCTTTTGCTTTTCAGGGAAAATCGAGAAAGTACCAGACTAGGCTCATGCTGAGTAAAAAGCTTATAAAAGCAGGATCAAATTGAAGTTGTTTTATGAGTTTGTTTAGGAAACTGCTGTTGTTTACTGTAGTGAATTCGCGAGACTAGGGTAGTGCCGCCGACCTGAGAAGACATGATTTTAACGTGCTTTGTCAAAATCTGCTTCAATCCATAGAAATACAGCAATTAAAATGGAAGTGTGTGTGCGCAAAAGTCTAACCTACAAGAGAATATAAAATTTTTGTGTCTAGTGCCAAAACTGGTATTTTTGTGTGCATTTGTGTGAAATTACCACATTCCGCAAAAAGGACATACTTAGTGTTCACCTAGCTGCTGACCCCTTGACGGCAAGCCAGCTGCCAACTGCCACATCATGCCCTAGTAGAGTTACGGCTTGGAAAGAAATAATCAAAGTTCGAAATTGTGCATTCCTTGTAAAAATCAATATCTTAGATTGCACTAATGCTACAGTCTACCAACTAAGAGGACTAAGGAAGAATTTTTGTATTCTACCATTTAAACAGCGTGATTAACCTCTAGCAGCAATATTTAAGTTTTTCAGCATTTAACTTTTTTTTTGGACTTTGTCATTATTATTATATTATTATTATTATTATTATTATTATTATTTACTTTGTTATTATTTCTCTTTTTTTTTCCTCAACTGCTTGGCATAGTGTTAGCCATTACCATATTTTGAAGTCCACTTCTTAGCAAAGTTTGTTTAGCTACACAGGGTCAGTCCCTTGGGCAAGAATATTATAGTAATATGTAATGATAGTCTCGTAGAATTGTAATACCATAACGCATGCGTTAACAAGGCAGTGCTATCTACCATATTTAAGATTAACTCTTGGTCTTCTGTTTACTGTTTGGTCTTTAACCTTTCAATAAACCCATGTTTCTTCACTTCGTTTAAGGTTTTTGATATTCAGCTTAATTCAGTAACTTTTGTTTTGCAAAATGTTTTATTTATGCCCACCATTTACTATGCTCTCTGATTAATTATGTAATTTAATGTTAATTTGAATTACCTTGTTTAATTGCTAATTGATTTATTTGTTTATCTGATTCCTAATTATTTTTTTCTGTAACTTTTCATTTTATGTGTTTAATTGTTTGTAATTATTTGGACCAAATTTCTTTAAATTATTTTTACAACCATTTGTTTATTTAATGTGTTTAACCTCTGTTGGATATACTTAAGTGGCAAAGTGTTATATACAGTGTGTTAAGTAAAACGTGACTAGTTTTACCCAAAGAAATAGTGATCCAGTGTTTTAACTACATAGTTATTTCTTCAACAAATTAACAGTGGCATACATGTCATATGTTGCGCCAGTCAAATATAGCGGCTGATGAAGACAATTCCCTTTTCGACTGTAACATAGATCGAATAGCACTAATAGATTCCGATACAGCAGCACAAAAAGAGAAAGTTGTGGTTCTCTATGAGAGTAATCAAAAAAGTGTCCACAACACAAAGGGAAGGCAAATATCTACTGCCGACCAATTTAAGGGAGGATATACTTAAATCGCTAGAAGCGCTAAAACATCTAGCATTAGAAGGCCCAACATATATTGCAAAACCACCAAAAGAGGACGTAAGAGTTAAAACCTCTAGTGTACTCTCCTGTGAACTCTCTCACATGCACATGCAACCGTCTCCAACACAGCGCACAACTTTCAAACAATTGTCATATGCACAAGTGGAAAATCCCTCTGTGTCTCATACCCTAATTCTATATTCAGCAGCGGAAGATAAGTCAACAGAGAACAAAGAGCTAAAAGCTGCACTGAGCGAGCAATTTCCTCTTCCCAACCTTGGTGTAAAGATTACTCAAGTGAGGAATCTTCAGAAATGAGGTTTAGCAGTCGACTGTTTCTCCAAGGAGGACATAGATAAACTTGCTACCACATTACAAAAGTGCAAGAGGCCTGACATTAGTCAAAACAAAGCTGCTAATGACTAGACCTTCCCAACTGGCAGTATACAACATATCTTCAAAAATTCAACAAGAGGTAATTGAAAAAGCACTGAGTTGTGAATATAATCTCATGAAATCCAAAGTATCACATAGAATTAAAGAAGGTAACAATGGAGTCAAATGGATACTGGAGTGTCAGCCCACGGCATATCACCAACTCGTGGAATTGCCCAAACTCTTCCTTGAATGGAGAGGCCACAGAATCTCTGAGCATTTTAACACAAGAAGGTGCTGCCAATGCCAGGAGTTTGGCTCCACAAAGCACGAATGTACAAATACATTTTTAAATAGTTCTGTTGAATGTTTTAGTAGTTTAAAAGATAACAACTGTGAGATTTTGCAATATTGAACGAATATCTGAGGAAATTTAATCACTGTTTTATTTATTGTGGTAATAATAAATTTTATTTTCTTTTAATTGGACTTGTGCATTCAATTTATCACGAACTTGTACGCACGCAGCATTATGCTTCAGTAAGGTATTTATCCCTGATATGACAAGTGTGTTTTTGTTCTTTTTGTTCTTATGCAAATTTCATGGTGATCACTTTAAGAGTAGATAGATAGATGTTTCCTTTATGATTTTACAGGAAAATGCTATATTCTTGCAGAAATTTTATTGCAGTTTTTCACTGCAGGCATATTTCACGAGTATATATTTTAAAATAAGTTAAAGATGAAAAAAGTACCATAACTTTCATATAAAAAGTGCTAGAATGAGGGGAAAAAAGGAATGCATACAAAAATGTTGATGCTGTTTCCTAAATCAGCATTATGCATGGTTGCCAGAATTCAGTGCATTCTGAAAATCTGGCAACTTTTTCTAAGGTGGTTGCAATTCTGCATTATACCAAGAATTCAGCACCAATTTGTGATGCTCTAATTACAATGATCTCTGCATTATTGCATGCCAGTGCAATTTACAGTCTGAGTCAGTTAGATATAAATCATTTGTTGCATACAGCCTTCTTTTATGCAACCTGTCATTTCATGTACTATATCTGAATAGTTGAGTTCTTGTAGCAAAAGTCCTTGCAATCTGAAATGACATCAATGTACTGTTATAGCCACAGACGCTTGGGCTATATTATTAAATATAGGGAGATCAATGACTGCGTTGTAAGCACCCCATAATTTTGAACGTAATATCTTACTGCATATGTAGACAAGTCTTTTTGCACCATATTTCTGTACTAGATATGTAATGTAGCTGTATGGCTCATACAGACCAATGTGCAAAATGGGATTTGTGCATCATAATCGTTTTTAGTTTGCCATGTAGCTGTATTTATCCTTCCTGCATCATTTAGTTCCACATTCTCATAACAATGGTCAGATTTCAAGCCACATGAGCAGAAATTTGGATATTTCCTCCCTCATTTCAGCATACCTTCGTGGTGTAACGGTTAGCACACTTGGCATGTATTTTAGAGGTCCAGGTTCAATTCCTGGCGAGGACATTGCTTTTTTTTCATAATCTCCTGCTTCAACAAAAAATCCTAATGACTCTACAATATGATAATCAGTACTCACTTATTATTCTTTCTCCATCAAATTTGACAATATGTTCCATCTTTTTCTTGATGCTTACATTACACATCTACAAGTTTAGAAATAAGAAGGAAATCCAGTTCTCCTATAGAAAATCTCTTTTATGCTGATGCTTGGTTGCTTTATAAGTGCCTATTATTCGTATATATTTGCTGTACTGTGCTGTATCTATGATGCAAATTTCATAATGATCAGTTGCTTCCTTCATGGCACTGCAGTTTTAATGGCCAGCTGTGTAGGAACAATGTTGCCCAAAATTTTTAACCTTTTGATCCATATATTTTTAACCTTTTGATCCATATATGATATGCATGTAGATATGATTTATTGCAATTTACCTGCAGATATTTGTGATTATTCGTGACCAACATATGAAAATTGGAAAAAGGAGAATTTTAGAAGAAAATAATGTAATAATAAATAAACATGTAACTGGAAACAGTTAATTTATAATTTATAATTATAAATTAATTTATAGTGACAAAATGTATTTATAATTGTATAATTTTAAAAAGAAAAAGAGTCTTTTCATGATTCTGATCATTTTCAAAATTCATTTATGAGATAATTTTCAAAAACTGTCTCCCAATCTTCACTTTGAGGATCAATGATATAGAGCATCCATTTAATTTACATTTAAAAAATTGATATTTTAAAAATCAAATTAACGAACCAAAATTCAAGCTTTTACTTGAATTTTGGTTTGTTAATTCAAGCTTTTACTTGAACTTGGATAAGACTCAAAAATGTACTGTCGTATATTTTTGAGTAAAACTATCTTGATAATGCACTGTTATATGTTCATTTTATATGATACTGATGAAGGAATATTCTAATTTTTGGCAATTTGTATTTATGACAGCATGAAATATGTTTTGTATTATATTTTATAGGTACCTGCTATGTCCATATTCAGTAGTTTCTTGTGGTGGAAAGTCTACTGTGACCTTCTCAAATTTGATTTTAGCTTTCTTTATATTGTCTACGGTTGCTGGTTAGTATGGAGTTGAATATTTCTATCTGCAATTCAAATGGAATAGTTTTAAGAACCATTCCTTTAAATTAGAGAATATTTAAAATGATTGATTGCCAAAAAACATTTTTCCCTTCTTAATTTTTAAACTAAATATGGGTATGAAAAAATTGTAAATATATATATACAAAAAAACTTTTTTAATGGTAAATCTAGACTATGTTCCTTCATGGATATGGTTTCTTGATTTGTGACAAGCATGTCTTAAAAGTGTATGCAGGAAGTTTTGAACCACTGTTTTATGCTGTTCTAAGTTATAACATACTTTAACAAATCACACTCTGGGTGAATGAGATGATATGATTAAATAGTTATTTGTTATATATATATATATATATATATTTACATTCTGTATTTAAATTTACATTGTTAAATTTATATTCTGTAATTTAATGCCTGACAGTAACAATGCCTTGTTCAAGATGCCAGTTTTTTCAGTATTTTATTTTGATTTTTTTTTAATTTAAGCTACATTAGTAGGTAGCAAAACAAAATGAATATAGCATAGTGTTAAATTATAAATATAAACTGAAATATAAAAGCAAACAAAATAATTATGGCATAATGTTAATTATAAACTGAAATATAAAATGGGGTCTTAATAAGATTGATATCGTGATCTGTTCCTCTGAAACTAAATAATATGTTATTTTCTTTTCTTTAGGTAAATGGCTTTCTGCATCTCTCTTATTGTCTGTATTGTCTTACCATTCATTTTATCACATAAGTCTTCTAGTTCCATTAATTATGTACATACATCAGGTAATTTGCATTCTTTAAAATATATGTATATTTATTGAAAATTAAAATGCTTAAAAATAATTAAATGGACTAAAAAATTACACTTAATTTTATATTTTATTTTTCAGAAAAATTCTGGGAAAAAGAAAGTCCTTCATATTACAAAACTTCTAACTGTAGTAGTTGTATATTTTCTAGCTACAATTATATTAATTATGACATCACACAAATTAATAGGATCATGGCATTTCTTACAGTCAACTTATGGTTGCATGTGAGTAAATTTAGTACTTTTTATGTACGGGTAGTTTTTATATTTCATTACTTATTATTTTTAAAGCAATTATATATGCCAAGATTCTACTGAAGAATACTATTATTTTATTGAACATGTCTCATATATATGTAAGATAAAAAATACTTAAATCAAAATGAACCCTGTAATTTCCCTTCTCTATTTCTAAAAATCGTAACTTTTATGGACTGCATCGTTTCTAGATCAATCTGTATTGCAATGCCTTAGAAGTAAGCCTAATGATGTAACTAATTTGGAACCTAAACTCACAATTTCAAGAACTGAAACCTTTCTAACATAAACCAAAACCTCCTCTTGGTGAGCCTCCATGTTGGATAATTGTGCACTTTTTAGCTTGAGCTCTCCTGCAGTGAAGTGCAACTTCGCTCCATTTCATTAGTCATTCTACTAACTATGCCATTATCTAAAATGTGATGCTCTATATAAAATTGTGGGGTATGTATTGCACCCATGATTATGTGTGTTGAAGAATATGTTTTCGATAATTAATTCATAGCCAGCAATAAAAGTTATATTCAATTCGCCCACATCTGTCTACAAGTCTTTTCTTTGAGTGTCATCTTTTGAACTACACAGTAAAATCTACCCAGGATGTAACGCAGAGAATCATCCTCAGTCTGTTACAGCTTACTCCAAGTCATAATATTACATAGTGTTACGAAATATTCAGGCGGGTCAATGGCATTCACTCGCAAATCCCACTTCTTATGTTTAAAGTCCAACGTAAAGTCGTACTTCTGCAAAAGAAAATATAACTGTGTATGAAGAGCGGCATTCCTTCAGCTCACCAAGTAACAACAAAACAGATGTCACCATCCCTCTGGTGACAGAATTATTACTAGCCGGCTCCATAGAAAAGAATAGCTTCAGATTTGGATTAATTGAATACCCTGAAAATAGCCCAAGAGAGGTATTAGTGGCCTCCACATTAGTAGACCTTTCGAAAGATTTCATCCCTGTGAGAGTGGCAAATGTTAGTCACAGACCGAGAAACATCCAAAAGGGGGGATGTGCTAGCAGCATGCACTCCAGTTACTTGCGTTTACAAAGCCCCACTTGAAATTCCGACTGAGGCAACTAGGAAATTAATGGAAAAACTTCTTCAGAGTTCAAATTTAACCTATGAACGAAGACATGCGGCAGAGAAAACAATTAAAGAATTTGAAGATTTATCTTCTAGGTCATCCAGAGATGTTGGCCACACAAAACTGACACAACATCGAATTGATACGGGGGATCACTCTTCAATAAAGCAGCATTCCAGACGTTTACCATTCGCAAAACAGGAAGAGGTTGGAAATCTTCTGAGGGAGATGCAAGAAAATGTTATCATCAAACCATCCACAAGTCCATGGGCATCACCTATAGTTCTCGTCTGGAAGAAAGATGGTTTGACAAGTTTTTGTGTTGACTACCGGAGACTAAAAAATTTTACTAAGAAAGACAGTTACCCTTTTCCCAGGATTGACGATACTCTAGACACCTTATCAAGACACAAGTGGTTTTCCACTCTGGACCTTAAGAGTGGATATTGGCAAGTGGAAATTCATCTCGACGATAGAGAGAAAACTGCGTTCACTACCGGTCAAGGACTCTGGCAGTTTAAAGTTATGCCTTTTGGACTCTGTAACGTCCCTGCAGCGTTTGAACGTCTGATGGGGACAGTGCTTCGGGGTCTATCTTACAAATCCTGTCTGGTCCTACTTAGACGACATCATTATAATGGGCTGTACTTTCGAGGAACATTTAGAAAATATCAGGAAGGTGTTCCAGAAATTGAGAGATGCCAACCTTAAACTGAGTCCTTAGAAATGCAAGTTGTTCCACAGTGAAGTTACCTATCTCAGGCACGTCATCTCTGCCGAAGGTGTCCATACAGATCCAGAAAAGGTGTCGGCAGTTCAAGACTGGGAACGTCCTGTGGATATTCATCAACTACGGAGCTTCCTGGGACTCTGTACTTATTACAGAAGATTCGTGAAGGGGTTCTCCAACATTGCAAGGCCTCTTCATAAATTAACAGAAAGTAAACAAAAATTCGTGTGGACTGAGGAATGCGAGAAATCCTTTAATCAGTTGAAGATGGCATTAACATCTACGCCCGTGCTCGCATATCCCTAGACAGACAAAAAATTTATATTAGACCCAGATGCAAGCAACGAAAGTGTGGGAGCTGTCCTTTCTCAAATGATTAATGGTCAAGAGCGAGTAACAGCCTATTGGAGTAAGTGCTTGTCCAAACCGGAAAGGAATTATTGCGTCACCCGTAAAGAATTGCTTGCTATCATCAAGGCCATAAAACATTTCCATCATTATCTCTATGGCAGAAAATTCTTATTGCGGACCGACCATGCTTCTCTAACTTTACTACTGAATTTCAAAAATTCCGAAGGACAAATAGCCAGATGGATTCAAAGACTGCAGGAATATGACTTTGAGATAAAACATCGTAAAGGCTCCTCCCACAGAAATGTGGATGCTTTACTCAAGAAGCCTTGTCCTGCACACTGCAGCCATTGTTCAAGAGCCGAGGCTAAGTACGGGTTGGCGAATCTGAGTATCCAGCAAGTAACATCTTCAACATCAACTGATCCAGATCCGTGAAGTGATGAAAATGTTAGAGAAGACCAATCAGCGGATCCTGACATTAGGCCAATAATAGAACTGAAGGAATCATCCAGTACAAAACCCAAGCAGCGGGACATTTCCATTTTCAGTCCTGCAAAGGTACTATGTTCTCTGGGATTCACTCCACTTTCGAAATGGAGTCTTATATCGACTATGGGAAAGCGACGATGGAACTAATAAGAGATGGCAGCCGCTGCTTCCTCGAAACCAAATACCTGATGTTCTGAAGGAAATACACAGCAGCTCAACAGGAGGGCATTTCGGCTGCATGAAGACACTAAACAAGGTCCAAGAGCGCTTCTTCTGGAGTTCCGTGAGAAACTGGTGTCAGAAGTGGGATTTGCAAGTGAATGCCAGTGACCCGCCTGCAGAGGAAAGCCATGGAGGAGGAAATGAAGACTTTGATGGACTTCCTAGCCGAGATGAAAGCTGAAATGAAAGCCGGACAGGAAGAGATGAAAGTCCAACTGGAAGAGATGAAAGCTGGACAGGAGGAGATAAAGGCTGAGATCAAGAGCGAAATAAAAGCCATGCAAGAGAAATTCGAACAGATGGAAGTGGAACAAGAAAAGATTAAATATGAGATCGTGGAGCTTAAAGAGGATACCGGAGCAAAAATAGCAGCTGTGGAAGAATGATTTGAAGAAAAATTGAGAAAATTTCAGAAAGAAGTAGATGTTTCGAAAGAAAACCGGACTGAGCTTAAAAACGAAGCTGAAGATTTCAAGGTTCCCCCAGTGTGTCTCGTCTAGCGAGCTGATAGTCAGTCATTGAGCGAGTGTCTCGAAGTCTAGCGCTGAGTTGGTCATTGAGTGCATCGAGAGAGCCTTTTAGTGCATTGCAAATTAGTGCATCGTCGAGTTTTGTCTTAGACTGTGTCGAGTCGAGAGCTATACTCTTGCGTATCGTCGAGTGCATCGTGTGGAGAGTCTCGAAAGAGCGTGTGGAGTTCCGGGAACGACCAAGCAGAGTTGGGAGCTGTACTCGGGTGCTTTGCAGTGAAGCTGTCTCTACCGTTATTAGCCTGACAGTGTGAAGGCTGTGTCGCTGTTTATAACAGTTCGACGACTGTAAAATGTGTTTTCGAGCTGTCCTTACGATACTGGCTAATAAAGTGTGTTTTGATACTTCACCAAGTGTTGTCGTTATTCACTCCAAATCTACGAACGTGAAGGAAGAGAAAAACACAACAATATTAATATATCTATAATGGAGAGGTTATCATCGCGGGGGAAAAAGTGTGAAAGTCCATTGTAATGAAGGAATTATTATAATACACTGAAGATACTGGTCAGTTAAAAATATAATATGAAAATGTATTAAATTAATTATTGCTGATTCCATGAAAAAACACTGACCTTTTTCAATTAGCTTTTTCCAATACAGTCCTCACAAATTAAGGAAATCTGAATTGTGTTTTGTCTTTCCAGTCTGCTTGAGGGAAAATTCAATTTGATAGAATATATATATACACACACATGTAAACAAATTCTACATGGTACATCTGCACGGTAATCAAATTCTTCCCATACTCAGTGTAGTACGTACACCATGATGATCTGCGGTGCATGCTTTATCCAACCACAGACTTCCTCAAGGGACATGGGCATTAGTAGCACATAAACTCTTTCTTTAATAAACCTGGCAAAGAAAGAAATCATATGGTGTTAAATCTGGCGAACAGTATGGCCAGGGGAGAAGGTTGTTGTCTATTGTTGCAGTATGTCCACCATTAATGAAGAACACAAATCAAGAAGATCTTACACATTCCTGTGAAAATGGGGCAGAGCACTGTCCAGTTGAAAAATGTAATCATCATAATTGTCTTTTAGCTAGGGTAACAACAAGATTTCCAACATGTCTAGAAATGAGTCACTGATCACAGTTTCTTGTTCGAAGAAAAATGGGCTGTGCACTTTCTTGTGGGACATCATACAGAAACATGCACAAAACTCATGCTGCACTGAATCCATAGATCTGGACTCTCAAAACGCAGTGCACAGAAAGCCTTTCCCTGTTGTGTATTTTGGAAACTGATGCTGCGTCTGCTCAGTAAGCATGACAAGCAAACAGCAGGTAGCACATGAAAAACATGCATAGTTGCCAATGCTTACGGTGTAGGTTTTACAGGGATAAGGAAGGTAATACATCAATTTATTATTCATTTTTAAAACTGCCCATTCATTTATAAGCACCCTGTGTATATATATATATATATATATAATAAGAAAACTTTCTATCTGCCATCTTTAAGGTACAAAAATTCAATTTAAATCCATGAAAAAAGATTACTTTATTTTGAATATATATATGCTTAATATTTTTTACAATATATAGTAATAAAATGCTTTTACCTTTTCTCTCTTCAGACTGTCAGTTCCAGACCTGACACCAAACATAGGTTTATTTTGGTACTTTTTCACTGAAATGTTTGAACATTTTAGAATTTTTTTCTTATGGACATTCCAGTTGAATGTTTTTGTTTATACTGCACCATTAGCCATTCGCTTAAGGTTAGTAAAATTTTTATACTTTCTCCTTTTATGTAGAGAATGGTTAATTTTTCTAGTTGTTAAATTTGAAAAAAAAAATTCTCTTAATTTTTTATAAAGTAAATCACTTAAAGTAATTTAATTGAATAGTTTTGAAAATTGCTTCTCTCTAAAGACCTAAACCAGTATCCTTATTTTTTATTGAAAGAGAGAATTTTTGTTTTGTTTTAGATATAATAAATGAGTACATGCTACCTTTTGATTTTTTTAGGTGGGTAACAGCTGTTATATGAATCTGATTAATAAATTTTATATTTTGCAATCTTTCTCAGTATAAAACTTTTTCCAGAAATGATGAATTAAAATATTATTGTATGTATTTTGCATCTCACTTGAGTAATTATTTTTCTTTTGCATTTAGGAAGGAACCAATTTTCTTGTTATTTATTCAACTCATTATCATTACTATTTTCAAATCATATCCATGTATTGGGGATGTTGCATTCTATTTCTCTTTATTGCCTATGTGGAGTCATCTCTTTCATTGTAAGTATTTAAGTGATTTAGAATTTATATTTTTTCATCAAGTATGCTTTGATGTTTGCTGTATTTTAAATTAAAAAATTATAATTTATCTACAAATTTTTTAAATATGAAACTGATAAATTTCTTCCATATGGGAAATTAGACTTGCATGTTAAGTTTCAATACAGATTTTTGCTAAAATGGGAAGCTAATAAAAGAAGAGAAAGCATACCTAATGGTTGTTTAATGATTCATTGAGCACCATGATAGAAATTTTTAATATTTTCCCATTGGTCTGCTACTGTGTTTTACAAACCTGTCTAGAAGGTCTTAGAATCAATTTAAACTCTGTTTAAAATTGGAAAATTTATTTTATTTATTGCTAAGCTACTGAAAATTTTAGTTTTTAGACATAATATAAGGATATTAATGTTCTATTAATTAAAGTCCTTTTCTACTATTCTGCATATTATTATTCAAGTAATGTGCCTGATTTGATCTTTCTAGTTCTTTCAAAGCTAATCAACTGACTAGCTGGGAAAAGCAATAACCTCCGGTAAATAGAACGCCCATCTAGATTGAGATTCAACCTGAAAATTTTTCATTACAACAAACAGTTTTGGTGTAGACTACTGGATCTGGAATTATCATGTTGTTGACATCAGATTTGCTGTTTATTTGATCGTTATTAAAATATTTCAATATTTCAATGTCAAAAAATTGCAATTTCAATGTGAATAGCTGCTGGGTTTCATAAAAGCTGTGTATTGTTACTTTTTTATCACTACCTCCTGATTCTGCAAATAACTAATTTGTTCATTTCTTGCCTGACTTTGATGTGATAGTTATTACAGAGCCTTTTTATGAGAGAGCCAGTTCTGATTCTCCATCACTTGTTATGATCAGGATAAGCATGTAATTTGCTACAGACAGTTGATAAGCAGACACCAAAAAAATTTTTTTTTGGATCTTATTTTTTTTTTTTTTTTTTTTTTTTTTTTTTTTGTTGCTGGAATTAGCTTGTGCAACCAGCTCAAAATTCCAAGTTACTACAAAGAATTACAATGAGGTATGATGGTCTGATAAAAATGCTCATCTTTGAAGATCAGACTTCCGTGTCATGTATTAGTTCTAGAATTGCCGTATGTCTTTGAGTAGGCAGATACAATCCAAGGATAAGTTCACAATAGTTAACTTATTGTGACTATCAAAATTAAATATGGAAATCTATGTACAAAATATAATATTAAGATACATTGGATTAAGGCACATGTGGGTTTCCATGGTAATAAGAAGGCTGATGCACTGGCAAAAGAAGCCACACTTGGCAACTCTAAAGAAATTAAACTGCAGGGCTCTAGAGGAAAGACTGATGGAATTTTATACTATAGTATATATGAAAAATGGAAAAATCTTTGGGAATCCTTGGAGAAAAATGATATGTGTACTATACATTTTTATAAAAGGAAGAAAGTGCTGTACTGATATAGATCTGAATCAGGTTTTGACGGGACATGGATGTTTTCCCATGTATTTGAATAGATTTGCATTCCAAGAAAACAATCTTTGTCGGCTATGCAGAGTAAGAGATGATAATGCTCATTTCGTTGAAATGTGTGTCTGACTGCTATTATGAGCAATAAAATGAAAATTGAATTTCCAAGAGATCTTAAGGCCTATAGTAAAATGCTGCTTTATTCAGAGAAATAATGAATATTATTAACACACAGAGATATTGGGCTGGAGTAGATGTGTGAATGATATGTATCTATTTTCTTTCCTTTATGTGTTGTTTTATTACATGTTTAACTGTTTATTCTTTTTTTTTTCCCAGTTTGTTTTTGTTTTGTCGGGCTGGCCTCTAAAGACTTTCTGGCTGAATCATCAGCTGGGGGCTTTGTCCTTGTAGTAACATGGTAGTGACAATCTAAGGAATCATAATTTATGTATTGAAATATTTATGGTTTTTACCCCAACAGTGTATGTTTTTACACTTCTATGGCCTAAATCTTTGAGATAAGCATATGGCTATCATCAATCACAAGAACTATTCTTGCTAGTATGTCTAACTAGAGATGTGTACTATAGTAGCGGTTGTTTACATTTCAGGTAGGAGGTAAGTTAAGTGAAAGATTTGTGATTATTTTGTTTTCTGCTAATGCTGGCTATGGAAAAGACAAAGCAATGTTATAATGAGTATTAAGGCAAAATACATGTAGAACTATTCTTGCTAGCATGTCTAATTAGAGATGTGTACTATAGTAGCAGGTTGTATACATTTCAGGTTCATTGTATTAAGGCAAAAAGCATATACCAAGATGTAAAAACTTAAGTGATTTTTCCCCCCCCCCAAGATATCCCTATGCAAAATGAGCTTGAGCTCATTCCTCTAACAGTAGATGGCTGTAAACATTCTGTTATGAGTTTTCTGGTAGTAGACAGACAGTACTGCTAGTATTAAATAAGTAATGTTTCTATATTCTTGGAACACCTTAAATGCATGCACCTGGAATTTTTTAATGCAGTAATATGGAATTGTGTATTTTGCCCTTTTGGTAGCAATCCTGTAAGGATCCTAAGTTTTACTAACATTTATTTTATTTTAAAACTGTACTATCACTTCTTATTTTCTACTTCTGGCCATAATTAAATGCTTTAACTTGTTTATGCAAATTGTCTTGCTAACACCCAAGTATTTAAGTTGTGGCTTTTTGCCAAGAGGGAGAGAGAAGGAGTTTTAGTAAGCAAGCCGCTTGCCACTGCAGTTTTACGAGTTTTTACTCTGTTGCTGGTTGCCTTTAAGGCCAGAGGTTTAGCCCTCTTGAAATTTGCAAACGTATTGTAGTAAACTTACCTTAGCAGCTCGGCGTACTACATACATACTCTTTTAAATAAAGGCCAGTCTTAGTGCTAGGCATTTGTATACTAATTCAAAGCTTTTAATAAGAAAGCTTTTAGTTAGAGTTTTTGTTATTAGTTTTATATTCTTACGTTCAGACCACAAGTGGTTGGTCTATGTATTCCGAAGTTTGGAAGTACCTGTAAGGTATTGAAAATAAAGGATTTCATATACCCTTCCTGCTTGTGTCGTCTGCTATACACAAATCTTGAACATAGCTTAAGTAAGCTCCCTGTTCTTATTCAGGACATACCATGTTTCCTAAGCAAATCAAGAGAAACACAAGTCCTGATAATTCAAAGCTCATTTTATCCTTTAGGACTTCAAGAGGTAATCTGTTTCAATTTTTTAAATGCTTCTGCTCAGCACATGGGGGTTGAGCTACATGCAGACGTACTGAGGAATTGTGTAAAATTCAGTTATCATGCTTATTAGTATAATTTTCAGTTTCATAATCTAGAAACAAGGGCAAGCAAGTGCCTTATTCCTAAAGCCTATAAGAAGGAACATCTGAGCCCATACATGAGAATGCAGCAGGGAAGTTGTGAACATGTCAAAGGTGACTCAGAGATGAAATTTTATTTCCGAGTTTATTCTTATAATTATAAATTTCCTTTAAAGTTTTTTTAAGCTGTAGGTATGCTATTAAAGTTACTGGATCTTTTTTATTGAATTTAATAGGCCCATTTCTTCAGGAAAAGCAAAAACACAGTGCAGATTGATTCATTTATAAAAAATGGTAGCCAAGCTGAAACTTTTATTATTTATAAAAATAAAAATCATATTATTAGCTATATTTATTTTTATGAATTAGGACACAGAGGATTATCCATTTGGAGTTAAATTTTACTGTATAACTGCTAATACTCTTAAAAATTAATTTTAATAAGATACCTTATTTGCTGTTTTATATTTGCAGTTATGCGACAAAGGTTTATTGTTTCTTGCGTTTTGGCTAGTTGCACTCTATTAGCACCAACTTTATGGCATTTGTGGATTTATTCTGGAAGTGCTAATGCAAATTTTTATTTTGCAATAACCTTAGCTTTTAATACTGGTCAAGTAAGTACATTTTGTATTTCTAAGTCTTGCACTTTACCTGTGAAAAACAAAACAATAACAAAAAACAAACAAACAAACAAACAAAAACTTATTTTTATATTTAATTTGTCCAATATTTTATTAATCCAATATTTTATTTATACTAGTTTGTTGTAAAAAGTACCATTTCTTTCCCCACAGATTTTTAGGGAAATACATCTGTTTACACAAAATTTGTTTATGTTAATTTTTTACTAATATTACAAATATAGAAGAAAAAATTTTGAAGTTTTCTTGTAAAATTGACAAAAAAATAAAAACATTTAGCCATAAGAACATGATAAAGAATAATAACATAAGAATAATAAACATAAGAATAATATATAAACATAAGAATATTGTATATAAAAAACTGAGACATGCAGATATTTTTAATTAGTATCTGCCATTTCCTTATTAAAATCTGATAAATATTCTGCCTATTGTCTACTTTCTGACATGTCTTTCTGTATAGCTATTCTTACTTTGTAATCCATTCATTTTATCTGATTTATTCTGGAGGCTTTATTAGTGTAACAAAATTTAATTACAAAGCAATTTTCAATATTATATCTGAGCTCAAAGAAGTAAAACATCTTTCCTCCCCCTTTTTTTTTTATAGCAGCCATTAAAAAAATTGTAGTCTATTTAGTTTTTAACATCCATTACATCAAAAATCTCATAAGGTATATTGTGAAATTTTCAAATTTAAATATGTTTGTAAATTAGAATATACAAAGTCTTTATACAAAAACAGAAATTTTACTTCCATTTTCAATATTGTGCTTATGCAAATTAGTAGAAAATAGAAATATCTTCACAAAGAAACAAGCTGATGCAATCAGAAGAGGATTTATGAAATGATCTGTCCATAAAATTATGTCTTGAAGCCACTGGTGTTAGATTGGTTTGTTAGTAGAAAAAAGGGCTAGGAATAGGTGGCTGCATCAATCTATAGTTCATATTACCTTACTTCATTCCATAACATTAACTCTTTGAGGGCCATAACATTAACCATAACATTAACTCGTTGAGGATGGGATGGCCACTATAGTGGCTATAGCATCCCCTGTTTGAAATGATGTGGTTGTCCCCTTTAGTGGCCATGTCTTTTCCCCCATTTTCCAGGCTGAAAGAGTGGGACGAAATGCCAAATTTGACGTCTCTGGGGTTTTATTCACTTATCTCTTTCTGTTTTGTGTTAAGGATCCGGTTTTTCCCAATCCTTTTCTTTTCGTTCTTGTAGCTGCATAACTACAGAATTCGCAATAATTGTGTTTGTAAAATGTAAACAGAGCCTTGCTTTAGAATATTGCATATTTTCATAGTTTTCTAGGAATTTACATTTTTCTAGCAATATGCCAAAAAGGAGAAGAGGGCTGTCTGAGGAATAAATACGAAAACTTCTTCAAGAGCGTGATGATGAAATATATATATATATATATGTTTATAAATCCACGTGCAATTACATGTATATAAGTGCATATGTGTGCCTGTGTGTGTACATGTACGTGGGTTTATAAACTTTATTCTCATTTAAGGGTATGCATGCTTTCTGTTTTATGTACATATCTGCACTTATACCATATTATTTAAATGCAGACATACGTACTACATGGGTATGTAGGTATACGTTCCAATAAACAAATATAAATTCCCATGTACTTGTATACAAGTACAAGCAGTTTTTTCTTACATAATTAACAGTTCTGTTCTGCCATTTCCATATACAGTCAAAGGTCTTTAATCCAGACTCGTCGGGACTTCGGCAATTCCGGATTATTGGTTTTTCCGGATTATAGATCATCAGTTTAAATGGGGTAAGATAGCATGCAGAATTTATAAAATTAAAAATAAGAAACCGTAATTTATGAAATAAAGAGCAATTATGATCTAAAGGGTATCAAAAGTTACAAAAAAAAAAAAAGCTTTATATTTATTTGTTTACTTTATTAAACATTTCTTTCAACGCGTGCATGCGTAAAGCATACATTACGCATAGTCAAAATTAGAAAATTGCAACCAGAAAACTATTTGATGTGTAATTGTGATATTTATAATGACGAGGAATTTGATTTAAATCATATCAAAGACAGAGTACATCGAGATGAAATACTACATTAAGTAAGGAATTATAAGCTGAATAAAATTAAAACATCTGCCCTGAAGATAAGGAGAGTGCTGACAGATCAACTTCCAGTTCATTATGCACCGCGACGTACCCCCCTCAGCAGAGCAGCATGAAATTGATAAACATATTTCGGAATGGTTAGAGAAACAAATCACCCCTCTGTCACTTTCTTCATGTCTTTATCCATTTTTTGCAGCAATTCCACTTTTTGTTTAATGGACATCGAAAACATGCTTTTGCTTTGTAGATCCTTTGGCAGCTTTAGAATCGGAAATTCTTTTTGACATAATCGAAAGTTCAAGCTTACTTTTGTAAAATTGCTCTAACAGACAGCAAAAAATAACAAGCCAGATCCAATTAGAAGATTAAGGAACAAAGCAATCTGCAACATTAACTGAAATAGATAATTAGATAATTTTAGCTTAGCTTATGCTGTCCGTTATGCATTAAACGCGCATGCGTAAACGTATTATGCGCATGCGTAGACGCATATGTGCATGCATAAAGGTATTATGTGCATGCGTTAATGCATTATGTGTTGACGCATGTGCACAAAGTTTGTAGCTTATAGGACGGAATTATAGATCATTCCGGATTATGGACGTCCGGATTAAAGACTTTTGACTGTATATCTGTTTATGCTGAAGTGACCTTTATACACAGAAGTTTACTGTGATGGTTTTGTTGTTCAAACAAATCACAACAACATAAATATAAATTTTGTGTCAAAGAAACAAAAATAGTTTTACAATTTCAGTCTGAAACCTGGCAATCGTACATACACTAAAACTAGTCAATCACTTTGAAAGGTTTTGCCTTTGTAGAAGAGAAGAATTTCATCACTGTGTTTCTCCATACGGCACGTCTCTAGCCATTAGATTCCAGATGTACTGATAGCACATTTTAAAAAGTACACTGTGCAAAATATTAAGAGGACAGTTTTGTATCTCCCATTCTACTGGGCCAATTGAAAAAATTCAAATTGCATTTTTCATGTCTCGAAAGCACGACTTAGGATATATATTAAATTTATATACAGTCAAAAGTCATTTAATCCGGACTCGCCGGGACTTCAGCGATTCCGGATTATCGATTTTTCTGGATTATAGAGTTTAAATCTGGTTTATAGAGTTAAACGCACATTCGTAACACGCATTCGTAAACGCGCATTCATTAAACGCGCATTCGTAAACGTATTTTGCGCACGCGCACATGCAACGCGCAGAAAGTTTGTAGCTTTGAGGTCCGGATTATAGATCGTTCCGGATTATGGGTGTCCGAATTAACGACTTTTGACTGTATAGTATTGTTCTAACATAGGTATTTTGATACAAAATCAGACTTTTCCTGAAATAACATATCAATTTTTTTTCCATATTTCGATTCTACGACTCAAATTATCCCTAGATGTTAAATTTTGTAAAATTTGGTTCAAAATTTACAGAGAAATTCAAAAATATATCTTGGTGCAATTTTTTCAGTTGCGCCAAGAATAATGCACATGGTCAACTTCTTAATATATAGGAACCTATTTTCCTTACCCTTCTGAAAAAGGCACCTCTTTCCTATCTGTTTACATCGTAGATGAGCAGAAAAAAAAAGAGTCACATTGTTCTTACTTTCAAATAATTTTAACAGAGTGCGTAAACCACATTTTCGTTATTATTGCGTTCAACAAACCACATTTTCGTTATTATTGCTTTTTTAAATACGCCAAATTTCAAAACGCGCCAAAATGTAAATTCACTATATCTTGAAAATTTGAATAAAACTCTAATTTTTGGCAGGTATGCTTAAAAACATCTACTTTAAGATGATTGTAAAAATTTTATAGGTTAAATTCAAATTTTTTTCGAAAATTTAGAAAAAGCGAATTTTGTTGGAATGAAGCTAAATTTCCAACTGTGTAGAAGGAATCAAATAAGTTTAATAAAAAAAAAAGAGATTTATGAATACATACCAAATTGAATTAACATTGAGGAGCTAAAATTTTGAGAGCTAATTATTTAAAAACTACTTGTGCAATTTTTACAAAACTTGGTAGTTTAGCATAATTTGAGTCATAGAATCGAAATATGGAAAAATAATTGGCATGTCTTTTCAGAAAAAGTCTGATTTAGTGTCAAAATACCTGTGTTAGAACAGTGCTATATATAAATCTAATACATATCCCAAGTCAAGCTTTCGAGACATAAGAAACTCAAGTTGAATTTCGTCAATCAGCCCAGTACAACGGGAGATACAGAACTGTTCCCCCCCTTTTTTTTGTACCTCCATATCAGGTCCCGATTTCATGGTAAAATAATTTTGAAGTAAGATGTTCAGAATGGATTAGAGTAGATTTGTGAAAAGTCATTGTCCGTTTGAGCTCCAAGCAGAGTCGTAGCTAGGGTTTTTAGCGCCCAGGGACAACTGAAGATTTCGCGCCCCCTACTGCTTGCCAAGGATGGAAACATTTAATTCTAAAATGTCGTAACATCAGTTTGGCGCCCCTTGGATTCTGCGCCCGGGGACAGATGCCCCCCTTGCCCCCCTCTAGCTACGCCCCTGACTCCAAGAATACAAACAGGATGTAAAAGCTCTCAAATAATGTGCAAATCATTGTTCTAAGACAGTACATGTTTCCCATCTGTATTTCTGAATCTTGACCTTTTAACTGATTGAATGGCTTTACCATTCCTCTATTGTCTGAAGACAACAAACTAATTATCGTGTAACTTTCGTCTCGCAGTTTTTCAGCCACTATGGATAACAAACAATTTTCCCTTCAATTTGGAAAACTCTTTGCACTGAGAAATTACCTTAATTTTAATATCCAAGTGAACACGTTCCCTTAGTGAGGCTGGGAATT